CCACTTTTCTGTTGCTTCGAAGCATTTCTTCCACTAGTCAACCAGATAATTCCCGATGGTAGACCCTATTTTCGTCATAAAATCGTTTTTATTTCATCCGTTCTCAATGAATGGGATTTTAGCAAAATATTTTGAGTATTCCGACCTACTCTGAGCAGACTAACGCACAGACATACTTCCATCAATTCAGAAAATAATTCCAACGCACAGAAAATGTTTTTAGATCGATTACTGTAATAAACGGCGTGTACACCTCAACCGTATATGTGTGTTACTTACATACAGCCGCTGAAACTTAACGTACGCTTATCTCATATGGTATAGGCTATAGACATTGCATGGTTTTAATCGAGTTATTAAAACCTTGCATTGCCCTTCACATCTATTGTTCGCATATTTGTGATACCAAAAAATTAATGATCAGATGGCTAAGTTATTCATAAGTAAATCTTCTGAAACTTTGTTTAAAAAAAAAAAAGAATGGAAAAGCTCGGGGCTTCTGTTCGGCGTAGCTTTTATTGTTCTTTGCTGTTTATCACGATCTACCTAAATTGATCTTTCCCATTTCGTAAATACTCTTCCAGGAACTCTTACAGTCGAAGAAGTGTACAAAGACCGCGATCAATTCGCTGCTTTAGTGCGAGAAGTCGCCGCGCCTGATGTCGGACGCATGGGCATCGAGATACTTTCATTTACCATCAAAGATGTCTACGATGATGTTCAGTATTTGGCCTCTTTGGGTAAAGCACAAACAGCGATGGTGAAACGAGATGCCGATGCCGGGGTCGCGGAAGCGAATCGTGATGCCGGTATACGCGAAGCTGAATGCGAAAAAAGTGCAATGGATGTCAAATATTCAACTGATACGAAAATCGAAGATAACGCACGAATGTATAAATTGCAAAAAGCTAATTTCGATCAAGAGATTAATACAGCTAAAGCTGAATCTCAACTGGCCTATGAGTTGCAAGCGGCCAAAATACGACAAAAAATACGAAATGAAGAAATACAAATTGAAGTGGTTGAGCGGCGTAAACAAATCGAAATAGAATCACAGGAGGTGCAGCGAAAAGAACGAGAGTTAATGGGCACAGTGAAATTGCCAGCCGAAGCGGAGGCATATCGGGTCCAAACAATAGCACAAGGCAAACAGTAAGTGGCGCCAAGTGGAGAAAAAAAAAAAAACAAATGTAAACTAATTGGTTTTCATCTATATTTTTTCGAAACATTTCTTTCCAGATTTCAAACGATCGAAATGGCCCGAGCCGAGGCTGAAAAAATACGCAAAATTGGCTCGGCAGAGGCCCACGCCATTGAATTGGTTGGTAAGGCTGAGGCAGAACGTATGCGTATGAAGGCTCATGTTTATAAACAATATGGCGACGCCGCCATTATGAACATTGTTTTAGAGTCACTGCCAAAGGTTGGTAACAAACTAAATGAATGAATGAATGAATGAATGATTTGCTTAAGCAGTACGTAACGCATATTAATTAACATAGGCACATAATCTATATATACCCTCTTTTTTATTAATTTTAGATACTAGAATTAAATTTTAAACACACTGAAGTACATTCGTCCCGTTGTCCATTACAAGCTGTCGCTAAGAACGTTTAGCTATCGAAAGCTAAAAACAATTTTTAAGTATAAAAAGCGACGCAGGTTTATGGCTTTGATTAAAAGCTTAGGTTATATACTAGCGTCCCTAATACGGTTTAAAGCAAACGCATACAAAACTAACTCACAAATAATATTAGAAAACCTCGCAACCGCTTGTACTGCTTTTTCTAGCAAAGCCATAATCGCTTCTTTTTTTTTTTTTGTTTATATACTTTCTGTGTTATTTGGTTAAAGGAATTATTTGACATATTTCATAGGCCCCTTAACATAATTAGCCGAGCTTTACAGAGGGTAAAATGCATATCAGATTCGGGCAATAAGATGAATATACATTATCACGCCTCGAACAATTTGTCTCGTTTGCGTTCCGGACAGTTTTTTGTCCTCATATCAGAATTTTGCGGGAAATTTTCACATCTTCATAGCGCAGCATTTTCCGTTCTACTTCTACTGCCAAAGGTTCAAGGGCCAACTAAAAGTTCCATCTAGCTTATGCGGAAGAGTAAGGCCATGTCGTTGCCGAAATGCTTCATTTTTTATTCTTGCATCGACCTAACCTTCAAAGAACTCTTTTCAATATAAATCAAATAGTTTAATATAACATGTTTATCAAGTGTGTGTGAAAAGACATAAAAGTGTCGGCTTGACGTAAACACGTATGCTTTAAACATTTAAGCTTTTTCGCTTTTCCTTTTGTTTAAATTCATAGATCGCTGCCGAAGTCGCAGCGCCTTTGGCTAAAACCGATGAAATTGTTTTACTCGGTGGCACGGATAATGTAACCAATGACGTCACACGCCTAGTGGCCCAACTGCCACCTTCAATTAATGCTTTGACTGGAGTTGATTTATCCAAGGTCTTGTCAAAGATACCGGGAGCAAAAGCGTGAGATTTACCTCGCCGCTATATAACACCAGCTTTCGATGACTTGGCCATGGCTTAGTGAAATAATGAAAGATTATGATGATAATGATAATGATGATGATGATGATGATGATGATGATGATGAGAATGAGAATGAGAATCAATTCACCACAAAAACCAGGACGCACTAAATGAATTTGATTAAACGATTGGACGATTGAACAATGATTTAGGGCAAACACTTACTATTAAGAATTAATTTTATATATGTGTATAGAAGTAAATAAAACACAAAAGCGTTAAGCGATAGATGAACAACGTATTTAGAAACAATCGCGTAACATAAGTAATATTTTTTATTAAGAAATTATTGAAAATAACTTAAAAAAAGAACCAAAATGCTTAACAATGATTATCTTAATTGGATTATTGAAAAAATTAAAAACGAAATTTTTGGAAAATCTAAATTAATCGTAGAGCAAATTAGTAATTTTTGATATAATTCAATGAAGTCGACGAAAAATTCATTTATTTTACTTTCTTTTTTTTATTTTATTTTAATAAAGAAAACAATATTTTTTTTTTTTTTTTTTTTTTTTTGTAATTGTAATTGTTCATTACTTTTGCACTATGACTTATGATTATCCTGACCAACTGAAGCATTTAGAGCAGTAACACGCTGCATGTTATGTAATTCATTAAATGAATTTCGAACTTTTATTTTTAAAGTTCATAACCGAAAAAAACATATAGTCTACGCTAGTTAGCGGACTCATCTTTTGAGACAATCCAAAAATAGAGCTAATTTTCAATATCTACAAAAAGACTGTTGCAGTTGGCACTCAGATAGACGTTTCTATATCACGTAGGCAAAATCATAAAATGATCGGTCGTCGTTTATGAAATGTGAACGTTGCGGTAAAATGTTTCATTCATATCATTGAAACGATCCGCTAATCGACTTACCTTACCTGCGCTCTCCTGAACATTATGCACATTTTGCATTGAACTCTTCGTTCAGTTGCAACTATTCCTTACTTTTATCGTTCGCTCTTGATTACTTTGATAAGTTGCTAGAACTTGGAACAAAGCACACAGACATAGCAGATGTTCTAACCGAAAATGAACTAACATCGCAAGGATTCAACTTTCTGTTAATAGCATTTAAAGTTACCGCAACGAGTCAACGACGAACGAATACGAATGCATTTGTGCGAGAATCATATCAAATCAAATCGTCCATCATATTTTCGGACGGAGAGATATCTCCGCCTGGCGTTTAAAAAAAAAAAAGCAGTTCATAACACTTTGATGGAAGGAGTATCGATGTGTGTCCCTGGCTATGAGTAAAATTACATTTTATTTTAAGTTTTCGATTGTAAACGAATGCTATTGCGCTTAGTCTCCATAACAAATCATCGATAATAATCAGTCGTTATAATTATTAAATATACGAAAATATGCGACGATTTACTTCCTTCCATTATCCCGTCGTGCTTCTTAACGTGTGCTATGTCTTTCTTTCTTTCGCTTTTGTTTTTCCTAATTTGTTTTAAATAAATTTTGTTTGTTATTCAAGTGTAGCAACGTCTTAGGTGTATGTATTTATATATTATGTTATATAATTTTATATTTTTCAATTATTACATTATATTATTTTTTTGACATTGTTTTTGTGTAAACAACGATTCATTTCGTTCTACTTTTTCCTAAAATAGAAAAAAAGAAAAACATCCATCTTCTTTGACCAAACTCTTTTGAATGTAGAAAAATATTTTGAAACGAACACTGACGATAGGAATTATTCGAACTTGATGCTGATAAAAACTAAATAAAAAACCAAAAATTTAATAAATAAGTAAAAAAAAAGCAAACTCGAAACAAAAAAGAAAATATTTACGTATGTATTTAAAAACCATAAAATAAATAAACAATTTTTGTGTATTTTGTCTAAAATAATTTGTTTTAATGTACTTTTATATAGACGTAAAGTCCTGCCTTAATCGAACTGACTTTGTTAACAAACATTTTAATGGGGAAGAAAAAAATTAAGGCCAATACAACTAATGATTCGATGAATCGAAGAGGAAGTGAATTAGATCCGCTTAGCTTTAACCTTTGAAAATTATTTCAAAACGTTTATAACAACAAAATTACAAGCCTAAGAATCTACGTACTATTGCTTTTACTTTTTTTACAAAAGTCTTTTATTTTTCAAGAACTTCGCCGTAATTACTGAATGAACTACGGATTCATGGTAGAAAAGAAAGCTGCATTTAAGACTTTTCCCTCTATTCTTGATGATATTTGAAAAAGAGTATTAAGGTGTTAAACGCAACAACTTTTTTTTAAATTATGCTCTTTATGTTTATACAAACAAAAGAAATCTCGGCCTAAGTGACTGAGCAGAAAAGATATTTCGCCTAACAACTGAATGCACATAGCTTCAAATGTCAAGTGCTGCAGAGTTTTTAATAAAGCCGATAGCCTTGTATGCTAGCGCTATATAAGAGAAACTTGTAGCGTAGCAGGCGGTTCTTCATCTTGGTCTTCACATAAGGCGCATACATCTGCCAACGTTCCTCGCCACCTTCCCTCACCGTCAAGGACAGAACTTGTAGATATGTCATCGACGGATCCGATAAAGGCGTACAATCTATTTAAGGTACCCAGCGTTCCATTCTTGCCTTCGAAAAGTATTATCACTTCTTCCATAATGCAAATATGCTGGTCGACCCTCCTCGTGTCAGCCGTGCAGATTCGGCTAATGTATCTCCTCCTAGTGGTGCCATTAAGTCTAGATCTCAACGAATTCTTCTCCGCCCTTTGCTGTTCGAATTTATCTGCTCACGACTAAATAGCACAACCAAGTATAGTTACTGCCTCTATTTTTTTTCCAACTCAAATTTTTCTGCTCATGATGCCTAATACGAATGATGCCTTCTTGACGAACAAGACAGGCGTCACACACTACGGAAAATAACATAAAAAGTTACGTTGCCGCAAAAGTCCCATCCGTCAATTTGAAGCTTGTTAGCCTTTTCAAATTGGCACTGTCTCAACGTCGGGCTATCTCGTCTTTTAAGGGTTTAATTCCGACTGAAAACATGGACGTCTTGTTAAATAAATAATTATGGCTGCTTGGATCTTTAATAAAAGAAACGTTAGCGGCCTAACCTCAAATATTCATTCTATTTACTTAAAATCAGGAAGTGCGACGTTTTCTAGCTTGGCTTTTACCTGGTTAAAGCCTGATCTGCATTCGTTGGGATTTTTACACAATTCTTTCCAGGTTTTCAGAAAAGATCAACTAAATCGTACTGACGGTGTTGTTTTAATAGCCATATCAGCTGTGTTCTCGTTCTACTTATTTGAGTTTTCCGCTCCTCCCTGCCATTCAGGCAGAACTTGATAGTAAAGAAATCTATGTAACTCGTTCCTATATTCTTCCAAATTTATTTATTTTATCATTTACATTCGTTTAAAAATTACATTTCATCAGTTAATGTGACTTTTATACAATCTATATTTTAATTTTCAAATATATACACATAACATTATAACTTGTCATCTACACTAACTTCACAAATTTTTGAAAATTCTTCCTCTTTATTTTTAAATATTGCGTTCATTTCTTTTTTTTTTTGGGCAGTGTGCAATTGGCATTATTAGCAAATCGTTGACATCAATATCCTCCTTGCGACCAATTAAGAAAAAAAAAATCGCCAAGTTTGCGTTTAAATTCAGCAGATTTCCAATAGCAACAAGATAATGTCTGTTTATATTATTTATATGTTCTCCATATCTTATTCTTTGTAAATGTGATTTTTTTTACAAAGCTTTATACTAATTTCCGCTGTTATTTTCGTTTCACGAAATTTTCACTCGTTCCACTTTTTACTGCTAAACGACAACCTCTCTCCACTAGCGGAATTTGCGAAGTCACTTATTACAGGGTTGTAACTGCAACAACTCTTATATTACAAAACCGCATGTTACATGATATAACGAAAATTTTGTAGCGTTTCTTTCTGTTCGCTGCCGTAATTTCGTTGCTCAACCAAAAAGAAATGGCCAAACTAGTACTTCCTTTGTATTAGCCAATCACAACGATGGAACAAGAGTACGAGAATGCCGGAAACCAAAGCTTTTCACTCAGAATATCGCTGCCAAAAAAAAAACGAACAGCTGCTCCCGCCGAAAACAATTATGGTTTTACTATATAAGTTGCGTATTGTGTTCTTGCCAGACCAAATATAATTCGAAATGCGCAGTAACAAGAAAACAAAGAAAAAAATATACATTAATAATATGTATATAGAAAAAGGTACTCCAACATTCATATTCATTGTCCGATATAAACCGTCGGATAAAAATTGAACATTCTCAAAGAGCGGCATTAGTTAATTACATTAACTAAATAATTAAAGCGTTGCTTTCTGCGGCCGTCGCCCGGCATGAAATGGAAAAAGTCCTTCTCGATTCCTTTTAAGATAACCTGAGTAACTGCGTCCCCAGTAACTGCCCCTTCACATATTTATCCGAAGTCGGTTTACCGTAAGTCGCTCATGAGAAGAGTCGACTGTACGTAAGGTAAGTATTTTACGTTATAGCTACCATAGAATCTATCGATCGTAAAGTTACTGTCGAGAAGGATCTCTTCAAAGAGAAAATAAAATGAAACATTTAATACAATTAATGACATTAAAAAGATTACCTACGGCGAGTTAGAATGTTGGGGAAAAAGAAATCCATTATTTTAATATGAACTTCAGGACTTTATTTAACAAGCTTCGCAAGCACAACATGTCATCATAATCATCAAGATTCCATATCATGAGCAATTAAACTGCCAGCATTTTCGGTTAATAAATAATGGAAGCAATCTTTACTGGACGCAGAGGGGAAGTATCGATGGTGGTGTTCTATTAGTTGTTCTCACATTCCAGAGAAAGACAATCAAGAATTCGAATTTGTTTGTAAAAGCAAAATGAAGTGAATTTTTAATAAATTTTTGCCTTTGAATTTGTTTAGCAATTTTATTAAAACAAATATATATTCTTCTTAACTATATAAAAAAAAGGAAAAAGTATATAAGTACATAAGCGTATATATATATATAAATATATTTGTACTCGAAAACTTTAACATACATAATGGCGGAGAATGATGACATGAAAGGGAAGCGTATGCCAAAATCAGTGTCGAAAGCAGAATTACGTCTGAAAAAGCGAAGCAGAACTGAACTAGACAGCCCCACCTTAGAAAATGCTACAACGAATGCTATCGTGAATGAATCGAGAGAACTAATAAATGAAGATAAAAAGCTGGGGCATGAAAATTCCATTATGGGCGAAAACTCCATGGCGAGCAATACTTCTGTAGCGACCGAAAGCCCAATAGCAGACTCCAGCTACGGAATAAAAGAAATCTTTATCGGTAGGGAAAGTTTTGGGGTGGGACGAAGATCCAGTTCAAAACGTTTTAGCGCTTGAGCACAGCCTTTGCCACGCAACCATATAAATTATCGAATTTGCTCTTAGTTACGGAATCATTGACATTAATGGCAGGCACGGCTAACTTCCCTTCTCTAAACATTCTATACAGATTGTGAACACCCGTCGTAGTCTCTTCAGATATGCCCTTGATTCCAGGCAAGTACTGTGGAAATTTTTCATGAACCAAATTTGTTAAATCGCCGCCGTCATCCAATATCATATTTAACGGTTTGCTATCCCGGAAAAGTATGGTCTGTTCAATGCACCAGTTGTAGACGGTAACTGCGCCAGCTGCAATTGCAGCTGCAGCATGATCCTGAGTACTAAATATATTGCAACTGGACCACTGAACCTCAGCACTTAACTCAACTAATGTCTCGATAAGGACAGCAGTTTGTACAGTCATATGTAAGCAACCAGCTATCCTAGCTCCACTCAAAATTTTTAAAGGACCATATTTCTTACGACAAGCCATTAAACCAGGCATTCCATTTTCCGCAATAAGAATAGCCTTCCGTCCCCAATCAGCCAATTTGATATCAGTAAATTTATATGAAGCTTCAGACATTATTGCTTTTATTTTTTTTTAATTATGTTGAAGACCAATTGCTTATTAAATAGGCAGCCGCGATATAAACTTTTCGATAATTTTTGCAGATGGTTGTTGTTGTTGTTCAAATTGCTCTTTTGTTTTTGAAGGAAAAGATTTTTCGAAGTCTTCATGTGTCACTTTTTCAATTACGTCAGGTTTTTCGTTGTCAGTAGGAGGATTCGTTTCTACGAAGGGTGATTGCGTTGCTGGATCATATTTTAGTTGCTTCTTAACTGTTCCTTGCTCTTTTAAAGCCACAAGACTTTCTTCACTTTCGGTTATTGTTATTTGCAGTAGTATAAATATAAATTGTAGCTGCTATCGTCGTGGTTTCCTTTATATTGTCATAAATTTCAAAATAACTGAGAAATAGTTGTCAACAAAATTTCATAGTCTTCATTTAAAAACGTAAAAGAATCTTTTCTACAATATATATATATATATATATATATCGGAAAAAAAAAAGAAAAGGAAAAATAAATTTTTTAAAAATAATACTAATAAGAGCTCAATAAAGTTGAAAAAATGTCCAGTTCCCAACAGCCAATTGATTTTAAGGATATATCCTCCACCACCAGATCGGTAACAGACGAAGATGTCGCATCCATGACTACTCCATCAATAACGGCTCCGCCGTTGACTACACCGTCCATGATACCACCACCAACCACCACTGATCCTACCACTACGTCATCTGTGGTAACGGAGACTGAATCAAACGCTTCTCTGTTCGATAAATCTCTTATGGTTTGGAAAATTGCCGTGCCGGGCAAGATAATGTTTGCCACAGACTTGAATCGTTTCTTCGAAATTTGATGCTAATCAAGAATATGTATATTCAATCAGATCTCTGCCACATCTTTTGGACAGAATTAATCTATTCTCACCCTTCGACGAGAGATTCAAAAAAAGATTCAAATTTCTTGTGCCTTAACGTTTCTCAAATAAGTTTGTTTTTTTTATTTCTTTTTTATGATCAATTACTCAGGCGGTGTCCGTTATTCGCGTCACGCGCTTACGGTCAGGATGCAGTGAGGACAGAAAAAGAAAGAAAGAGGAGGTTAGGAAGATTTTGGCCGTAGTCTAGTCTGGATATGAGCCTAATCGATAAGTGTTATGCCTTTACCGACTTAGCATTCACTATACCTACCACCACTAAGATTTGAACCGGCGAACATTGACTTTGTAATCGCGAATCTTACTACTACTCCACAGATTCATGCGGATAGTTCATTGCGTTGTTTGGTAAATCGATAAAAAGTTTCGAAACTCTTTTCAATCACTGAAGAATTCTTGAACAATTTCAATGATCAACGTGAAAAGGTAGTTCCCGTCCTCGGATTGCCGCTAATAAGTAACTTACTCATTATGCCTTTCAAGTATCAATAAAGGAAATTACAATGAACTTTCTCGAAAGAACATGAACAAGCTAATATATATATATATATATATGTGTATACCCTAATTGCGGATTGATTTGGAAGAGGACTAAGTTGGATAAATCTGCAAGAGCATCGAGACTAAGGCTGCGAGCTATATATTTTGCCTACCAAAACCGGGCTCTAGGCCAGTTCAACTTTAAAATTATCGAAGCCTTAAAGCCAAACTTTATGTTAAAATCGATATTTTTTTTTTTTTTTTTACAAAAAATATATTCTTGGCATGCGATTTGAGCAAATTATTTTTACATGATCTTAGCAGTTGCGACGATTCAGTTCTATTTAGTAAATGGATGATAGCCCGTAGGTAGATGGGTTTGTTTGTTTTATTTGTAAAACTAACGTATACATAAGCAATTTTATCACCAACATAAAGTATAGTTAAGAATAACAGTGACAGTGAAAAGTTTTTTATGATGAGGAAATTAATTAGAAGTCCAGTGTTTAGTGGTATTTTAGTATGTAATCATCGTTAATATTGTTGTGTTACTTATTAAATAACTGAAAGAGGAAATGAAGCTCTTTTGTTTTTTTTTTTTAATAACTTTGGCTTCAGTAGATTTAATATATGATTCATCAATTAGATATTAATCCGAGCGAGTAAAGCGTTACCGGATAATTTGTAATGATTGTATAGAAGAGTGTGAAGAGAATGACTTATCTAAGGCAAAATATATAAGTTTGGGGAAAAAGAAATCCATTATTTTTATATGAATTTCAGGACTTTATTTAACATGCTTCGAATTGTCCGATTTGGGTCAAATATGCACCGTTTTGTTGTATGATTTGTGGCCATTTTAAAGGTAACTTCAAAATGCCTCTCTCGTAGAAGTCCTGGTCTCTATTTGCAGAAAAACTCTAGTAGTCGATTTTCACAATCCTCCCTAGATTCCGATTTTTTATCATTAAAGAAATTTTGCAATGCAAGAAAAAGATGATGGTGCCAAGTCCGGACTGTATGGTGGATGCATTAAAACTTCCCAACCAAGCTCCTGAAGTTTCTGGCGAGTCAATGTAGATGTGTGTGGCCTAGCGTTGTCCTGGTGGAACACGACACCTCTCCTGTTGGCCAATTCTGGCCGTTTCTGGTCAATCGCTATCTTCAAACGGTCCAGTTGTTGACAGTAGAGATCAGAATTTAGCGTTTGGCCATATGGAAGCAACTCATAATAAATAATCCCCTTCCAGTCCCACCAAATGCATAGCAAAACCTTCCTGGCCGTTTGAGGTGCTTCACCGCTCTTTGACCACGATCGTTTTCGCACAGGGTTATCGTATGTGATCCATTTCTCATCTCCAGTCACCATCCGTTTAAGAAATGGGTCTATCTCATTCCGTTTGGCCAAGGCTTCGCAGATGGAAATTCGATCCATCATGATTTTTTCTGCTAATTGGTGTGGCACCCAAACATCGAGCTTCTTTTTGAATCCAGCTTTGTGTAAATGATTTAAAACTGTTTTATGGTCGATTTTTAGCTCCTGGGCGATGTTACGACTGCTAACATGGCGGTCAACTTCGATCATTTCTCCGATTTTATCGACATTTTCGACGACCGGCCTACCTGTGCGAGGTGCATCTTTAACATCAAAAATTCCTGAACGGAATCTACGAAACCAAAATTGCACATAATTTGCTGTTACAGTATCGGAACCATAAACACGATTCACAATTTTAGCCGCCTGGCTTGCATTTTCACCTTTGTCAAAGAAAAACTGTAAAATGTACCGAATTTTCTCTTTGTTCACTTCCATTTTTAACACGCTGTAACTCACAACTGAATGCACCAAACAAAAAACAGCAAAGGAATTTTTTTTACTGCGAAATGTCACCTTTCCAACGAGCATAAATCTGAAATTGTTTGATCGATACTTTACGAGAAGTCTATCAGTGCAGTCATCTACCGAAAGAATAATGGATTTCTTTTTCTCCAAACTAATATAATCGCTCGATTTCCTGCCCCCAAAATGTACATATGTCTGCAGTTGAACAATATTGACATTAACGACATTAACTCGATTGTTTTTGATTTTTGAGGCAACTTCCAAAACTACGCACACTCAGAAACACTTTATCTGGGAATTCTGTGGGAGCCATTAAAAACAACGAATGATCATCTTAGTTGCGTGACAAACAAACAAAAAAAAAAAAAAACAAAAAAAAGTAAGAACCGTTTTTCTAAAAACAACAAAATTTTCATAGCCTATACTATGGAGCGGGCGCAGTTGATTTCGTCTACTTTCAAAATAAAAGGTTTTATCGTAGAGGCATATGCCATTTGAAAACTTTAGATCAATCCTAAATTCTTTTGCTAATTCGTAGGCGAAATCTTCACTTTCGCTAAGATTATTTACCACAAATACTACAACGCTTCGCCAACAGACAGATGAACAGGCGGACATGTTTAGGTGCACTCATGGATTGTAACTGGCCAGGAATTTATATGTGTACACCGTACATTACACAGACGGACAGACAGTCAAACGAAGATTAAGCTTAAATCGATTTAGAATTTGATGCTGATCAAGAATATATATACTTTTTGGGGTTTCCGATGCTTCTTTCTAGGCGTTGCAAACGCCCTTCATCCGTCTGTGATGGGCATAATAAAAAAAATCATAACTTATGATAGCTTATCTATGCAAGAAGTGAAAGCAAAAATTTTTAATCTTTTTTATTTTATTTATTAATTTATTAAACATAAGATTGATAATCGTATGAATTGTAGCTTTGCAACTCATTAAAATTATCATTTTTTCTTTGTTTGTTTTTTATTGTTATTATTATTTATTATATTAATTTTGTTTTGTTTTAGTATAATTAAATGTATATATGTATGTGTATATAGCATAACTGTTAAATCGAGTGTACATGTTGTTGTGTATGTTTGTGTCTGTCTGTATGGGTGTGTAAGGGAGTTATATAAATTTAATACACAATCTTAATTTTTTTTTTAAATTTAAATATGCGATGTATTTTTTTTTTTTTTTTTTACTTTTACTTATATAAAAAAGTAGATTTTCTATCCGTAATATTTATGTAATATAAGTTATGTTTGCACACTCAGTTGCTGTTTTTTTTTTTTTTTTTTTTTTTTTTTTTTTTTTTTTTTTTTTTTTTTAAATTTAAAAAACAAAGAGAAAACTTTTTTTGTTAATAAAAAAAAAAAATGTAGTTTTTTTCACATTTTATTTTTGTATTTTATTGTATTAAATTTGTTTTATGTATATATTATTTACGTTTCTTTTAAATTTTCAACAAAAAAGGGAAGAAATTTTTTAATTGCTTTTTTGTGAAGATTTTAAAACATACAACATTTTTTTTTTAATATTTAAAAAAGAAATAGTATTTTATTAGTTTTATAAGTCTTAGCATTTTCGAAAAAGCTTACAGTAGGGTTAAAAAAAAAAAACTAAGAAATAATAATAAAATCAAAGAGAAAGAGAGTGCTTTACGGGATTTTCGTTCGTCGCTTTTTTTCTTTTTCAGTATTGTTAAATTTTTTTTCTTTTTTTTAACACAAGAGTGTATAAAACGTTTAACTTACTTTTTAACAGTATTCAGTATCTTTACTTTATTCTTTGTTTTATATTTAATTTTTTGTAATTATATGTAAGGAGAGGAGAGCATAAATTTATTTTATTTTTTTTTTTTTTTGCCTAAATAAGCCTATTGAGTTTTGTTGTTGTTGTTACTATTAATGGTGTCCTTGTTGTTGCCATTTTTTGTAATTAATTACATTAAAGTCGAGCAGCCGATTATTTAAATTTTTTTATAGATTTTTTTCTCCTTTTTCGTTAATAATTTTTAAAGTAGTATTTAGTAATATCTGTGGGTGTATGCAGAGCGTATATATGTATGCAAAATTTTTGTATTTATGTATACATATTTATATATATATATATAATATTTATTTTAATATATATATATATATATATATATATATATTCTTTATTTTATTACACATATATTTAAGTAATAATTAAAATTAGTTTTTGCTTCCGGTTTATTATTTTTTTTAGGAGCAGGATTTTTTAGGCTATGTTAAAGATTTTCTTAAAATTTAAAATATTTTCTGATTTTTCTGTGTTTATTATTAAATAATTTTTTTAAAAATTATTTTAATTTTAATATATGTTTTGTCTACATATTACCTTAGCTTACTTTTTTTTTCGTTTTCAAATTATATGCGTTTTGTTTTACAAAATAAAAAAATTAAAATTAAACAAAATGTGTAAACAATAAGCCAGAAAAGCCACTTTTTCTTATTGCTTTCTATTAAAAAAAAAAAACTTAATGTAAACCATACAAAAAATCCTAAAAATGTTTTTTATACGTCGCTATTATTATTTTTCACATTCATTTACTGCAAAAAGAATATATAAACAAAATATATAAAAAAAAGTTTTTTTTTGTTGTATTTTACTTTTTAAAAATGAAAAGTCATTATATCTTGTTGTTTTCATTATTTTTAGCTTTTACTCTAGAAGAAAATTTGCAAAAAAAAATTGTTTTTTTTTTTCTGTTTTTATATAACAATCACCTCTACCATCACCAACACCAGGCTTCACTTTACTACTTGTTTATTTACTTTTTTCATTCGTTTATTTTTTTCTCGTTTACTTTGTTGCTGTTGTTATTATTTACTTTTGATAATTCCCGCCTTTTCTTTTGTATCTTCTATTTATTTTTTCTTGTTTATTTTGATAGACAGACACGCGTTTTATTGTTTCTCTTTTGCTTCTCTTTCTCCATGTTTTTCTTTTATTATTATAAAATTTTTCCTTTTTTTAGTAGTTTTTACTCTCTCTCTATATAGCAAACAAACCTCTTTTTAAAATATATATATGAATTTATAAATGTATTTCTCAAAATGTGTATGTGTGTGTGTGTGTGTGTGTGTGTGTGTGTGTGTGTTCGTTCGTTTATATGTTTGTGTTTCTGTGGGTTGGTGCACCTATATGTGTGTTTGTGTATGAATGGACGTGTGCGTGTGTTTGTATGCAAGGGGGTATGTATATAAGGGCTACGCATATACTTCTTTGTGTCTCGATGTGTGAGTCTTCGTATATGTCTGTTTGTCTGTCTGTCTGTCTGTCTGCCTGTGTGTATGTGCGTATGTGTTGTGTGTGTGTATACGTGTGTATGTATATATATATATATATATATATATATATATATCGATATATGTCGCTGGCTTGTTGTTTATTTTCTTCCCCTTTGTTTCTTTTTTTTTTCTTGCTTTTTTGATACGTGTCACTGCTTACTCTTCGTCTTTATGCGTCTGACCGGAGTTATTATTTTGTTGTAATTCTTTGAGTTTTTCTTCCCGTGGTTTAGCATTTCCAAAAATAGCCGCTGCCTGCTTTGTTTCCGCTAGCCCATTAATAGGAGCATTAACAGTGCGCGGTTTTAATTGTAGTCTCGGCCTTTCGCTGTCATCTAAATAATGAAATAGAAAGAGAAAACCATTTTATCGTCAAACAATAAGTACCACGCAATTTTCTTTGAAAATATTTATAAATTATATGCTAATTATGAAAATGAAATTTTACGAAAACATTTACCACTTTATCTGAAATTCAAATCAATCAACTGATATATCCATAATCAACAAGCAACTTCAGATGATGGGCATTCAACATTCGCCTCGACGGAGTTATGCTAATTTTTTGAATCCGTTTATAAAACACGAAAATAAATATATTCTTGATCTGTCTAAGATATTGAGAGTATGTCCGTTCATCTGCTTGCTGTGGAAATTCAAAAAACTGAAAAAATTGAGATAGAAATCTAAAATTTGACCCAATAGCACAATTTCGATTCAATACCCCAAACAAAATTTCGTAAGTTCGAGATGAAATACAAATACCCCGTTAAGTAACGACAACGCTTGTACAATTTCAATAACGATTTCGGGCCTACAATTGATTCTGGGAACATAAAACTTTCAGCATAAAAGAGTATTTCAATCTTTTGGGATCGAAACCGTGATTAAAATTCCTTCCTATTGAATATAATTCCATGAATGGAAGTTCAAGTTAAAAAAAACAGAAAAAAAATTATCTTCACTTCTTTAGTCCCTCACTATGCGATTTATTTCTATTTACATAGCTTCCACGAACATTAAGTATCGCAGAATAAGGAGTTTCTTCTTGTCGTGCTCACATACTTTTTTTAAGCGTTGCCCATTTTTCTTCAGTTATTGTTAGTTAAATGTTTCAAAAAATGCGTTGAACTCTTTTTTTCATCAATTAGAAATTCGTTGGAAAAAATTCAGTCGACCAAATTTCCTTTTGGCCAAAGCAGTGAAACGCTTAAGCATAATTTAGAAAAAAAGATGCCAGTATTGTCCATTTTTTCTGCACTAAGAAGACTATATTTAAAACCGAAATACCGTTCGTAAACGAAAGCCATAAATTATTAAGGTTTCGAAAACCTCGTCTATATTTTCAGATTGGCATTATACAAGAATTGAATACAAGAATTGTAACACTTTTTACACATCTACTATCTTCAAGTTCGGCGAACATTGTCATTTTTTATATGCATTTATTCCTAATTCACCGAAAAACAGTTGAGAATATTTATAAAGAAAATCAAGATTGGAAATGACGAATTTAAAATAGACTCTCAACCTAAATTCCCTTCTCCGATCGACAAAATCGATTTTGTCGAGAACCATTTCAAATCACCTTTCATAGACATATCTGACTAGTATGAAGTTTATAGTGGCCATTGTCCCGTCCTGCCCGTCATAGCATGCACATGAGATTGAAGCTGAAACTTGGCATAGCTCATAGATCAAGTTTGAAAGCAATCACGATCTGTCCGGAATTGGTACCAAGAATAATATGTAGAGCCTCAACTTACAACCTAAATCGATTAAGAAAATTCTAACAATTACGCTTACAATGTAACAATGCAACATTTTACGATTTTTATCCATTGGCTCGATATGTTCGCGCTTCATTTCCATTCATACATAGTTTCATTGCTTTACAAAAACGTTTGATGTTCGATTCGAATACTATTATTAATGTTATTTAACTGAGCAGGTAATTCATTGACATAAGCAACAAAAAATTTGGATTCATTTCAATTTCGAAAAACTTCTGACAAATTCAAACTATTTTATAGTCTATTGATTTATGCCTTTGAATTTAATTGAAATTATCAATCTCTTCCGCTCCTGTTATTATTAGAAAATCACACGAGTAACTCAGAAGATGTCCTCTGAACGTGTAACATAGTGATGGCCAGAAAAGATATAGTGGAATAAAGAAACAGCCATAGAGAATAGCCAGAGCCTAGTGGATATGTGCCTTATCTGTTAATCAATAACTGTTATATGTCTCTGAGATAAGCAAGCATGGTCAAAGCAACCCCATTGAGATTGGGAGCCGAGAACATCTATATCATGACGGATCTTATCTATTTCGTTATAAGGCAGGCAGTCCAGGCGTATTAAGTGTTTTTAAAGTGCTATCTAAAACAGTTTCCTTGAAAACGAGTATAAACGTGATTTTGTAAGGAAATTTGTTGTAGATTTGTTGCCTGCAAATACTGATCGATAGTAAATATTTAAAAATTGTTATACCCATCGAAAGAAGTGCATTAGATTTCATTCTCAAATGTGTGCCACCACACAAATAAATTAATTTTATGTATATTCTCTAATTTTTTACTTATTCTAGTAATTAAGTACGGAGTTAAAAAAATCCTTAACAGAAAGGGTGTAGAGAAGAGTAGAACTTTCTATAAACCCGTGGACTCATGTCCTACTAGTCATTTCGGTTAGGTTTGTTCACAGTAATTAGTAATTAGTAGTTCACTTTTCGTAACTTTCTTTAATCAGTAATCAGGCTCAGCATACCATATGACAAGGGAGAGGTCGAGAGAGAGAAAGATAGAATCAAAAACATAAACCTATTAATAATACACATTTCCAGTTCCATTTTTTTGCAGTATTACACGAGCCTCTTTTACCATGTTGTACAAACATGATCGTAACTCCACCGTCGTGTTATACGAATCGATCTTATATGAACACGGGCTTATAGAGGGGTCTATTGTATCTATAATATTTGTACGATATGCATATATGATGTATACAACAATTCGATGTATCATTTAATTCTTTGTATTAGGATTTGAAACATTCATGATATGTTTATAAGAGAATATAGGATTTATATTTTTGCTCTTTGCAAGCTTGCATTTGTATTTGTATGAGGTATCCAATTTATGCGGTTTGCGAATCGTGTCGCCGAAATGGAATCTTAAGAGTTGAAAATGCTTCTTGCAATCATCATCGGATCTTAATGTGTGCAGCATCCCAGCATATAAAAATCAATTTGAACTTTTTCGAATATTTTATAAAGATTTCAAAGAAAATTATCTATTACAAGCTTTTCTTCTTAGGGAAGCAACTAAATAACTTGTGGAACTACTGAACCCATCACCTTTCTCTTCTCATGCATTACGCTTCTCATGCATTCATCGCAAAAAACTAAAATACATTTTCTGTACCAACAAAATTAGTTGTTGCAAAAAAAAAAAACCGTAATCAACGATCGAAATATTTTTATCAAATCTGAAATATAATAGAGTTTTTTTCTTATGTTTGCAAACAAGCAATATCAGACGTCAATTAACCGATATAATAAAAACAAGTACACGTATATACTATGCTTAAACTCACACACAAATTCTTAAAAATACATTTAAGAAAAACGAGCAAACAAACAAAATCAAAGAAAGAAAAGATAAGGCTCTAACACCTTACCTATACTACCTAAGGTTGACACCGACGATGGACGCTCATTGTGATTAAAATGGCGTTCGCGTTCCCCGCCACGATTTCTGCTAAAGCTATTATAGCGGTCACTGCCACCACCGCCACCGCCGTCTCGACTATTACCACCGTAACTGCCCTCGCGGTGATTGCGTTCATGATGATTACGATCATTGAAACGTTCATCATTGTTAAAATTACCATAACGGCCACGATTCGCAGGGCGATCTGAAAAGAAACATTTTGTTTTTTGTTTTTATTTTCACTAAAAACAAACATAATATTTTGCAGAGGTTTTGCAAAATAGAAAATTGTTTAAAAAGTACTACTGTGTAGAAAAATATGTATAAAAAACAGGCGGTTTGTGATCGTGTGAATAGTGATTTGTAATTTTGTCATGCAGGCTGTAAAGGTAATAAAAATATAAACGCGCTTCTTATACGGAAATAAAATAAATAAGGCTAAGGAACGAAAAAAAATCTACTAAAAACAACTACTCAAGTGATATCGTATTGTGTGCCCATAATAATAACAACAGCAACAACAACAATAATGATAGCTTGCTAATGTATAATATTCCGAATTTCTCAAGTTAAAATTTACCGTTATATCCTCTATTCATACCACCGCCGCCGCCGCTACGATTTCTATCATTGTGACCATGATTATCATTGTACGAACCTCTATTATCGCCACCACGATCTCCACCACGATCATTACCGCGATTACCGCCTCCGCCACCGCCACCGCCGCCACCGCGATTATAATTTTGCTGATGGCCGCCGCCGCCGCCGCCACCGCCACCACTACCGCCTTGTCGGGGAGGACCACGTTTATTAAATCCGCCGCCACCACCACCACCGCTAAGTAGAGAAGAAGGAACAATTACTTTTTCCTCATATTTCATTTCCATTTGAATATTTTAAAAATGCATTTTTCTTACCGTTCATTTTTCTTACGATCAGCTATGTCAATTCTCAACGGCGCCGCCATGTCGTCTAATTTAATTCGTCCATCGCAATCTAAAGCCCGCTCTAAATTTTCCAGTGTCTCAAATTCCACGTAACAGAAGCCTTTAAATTGATCTGTTTCACGATCTTTGACCAGACGTACATTTTTCACTTCAAAATCTTGAAAAATTTTGACAACATCACCTTGAACCAAACCTTGCGGCAAATTGCCCACATATGCAATGTATGGCGGCTCTGTTGGTAGCTGTTTGCCACCACGATCGCCATAATTTCTATTATATAGGGAAAAACAAACAATATATCATTTACGTGTATCGAGCAATAAGTATTTCAATATTAATAATATATAATTTTCTAATTTTATTTCACGTGGGAGATTCACTTTGACCGTTAAAAAAAAACAAAAAAAGGGAAAAAGAAAAAAAGATATGTACACAGGACTGGAGGATATAAAGCGCCAGTTTTTTTTTTAATTTCGCGATAAGCGATAAATTTGAATAACTTTTCTTTTCATTTAACACTCAATTCCTCAACGAATTATTCGATTATTGTTCGATTATGCGCTTGAGATCAGAGCCGCATCGCAAACTTACAAGAAGCTTTGCATTATATACGAAAAATGTATTAAGCAAAAACACTCTTTATAAGTAACTCGCGATCTTGATTGCCCACGTTTTTCACATTCCGATTGATCCACAAATACATCAAGTATTTTATAAAGCCCGACTGGCGGCGACTCGTGACGACTATTGCGATCTAACATAACCTCAACATTGATCAACCAAGTCTTTCGAGCCATTTACGGCAAGTAGCTGCAAGATTAATTAGTATGTAGTTAAAAACTTATGCGTTAACCATACTGCTACGAAAGTAACCTATTGTGATCTTATTAAGCTTACCACCTAATTGCATGAGAATGCACCACCTACAGAGCAGCGAACAATAATTCGCACTTATTTAAAAAGTTCACAAAGGCTGTAGTTCCATTTAAATATCAAAACCAAATAAACATTGAGATCAAGTAACGCCTTGATGTTAACTGTGGCTAACAATTTCAATACCTTTAGCGTTACCATAATCTTTCAAGAAGTTCTCAGTCTTTCAATTTCGCCTAAACTGCTAAAACTGGAAAAAGAGGCAAATAATTTTTCTTTTCATATGCACTCCCGAAGAAAATTAGATTGAATTATCATTGAAGATGGGACATTCATTGTACTCATCTCTTAATCAGCGTAAGATTCGGCATTGATTTAGTCATGTGCACCGCTCGGCTATAATAGCTGACAAAGTAAAATAGAAATTAACGAAAAAAACCGGATATTGAATTTTGTTTTGTAAACGGCCCATATAACTCGATCGAGCTAATCCTTTAAATTGATACTATCATCATAAAAAGAAAAGAGATTGTTATATAATAAGCACTATGTTAGCATGTATTGGCAAAGTATGTAGAATACGAAACACGTGCTTTATATAACGATCCGAGTTAATGCACAATCATCGTTCTAACTGAAGAAAGAAAAACCAGCCCAACGAACCAATTTAAGTGGAAAGCTCATTGTAACTGTATTCGCTATTCTCTCAGCTTGGACAGGCATATTCTTTGAAATTACCGCTTGTTTCAATCACACAGGAAATGAAACTGCAGCGGTGAAAGTTGCTGCAGGGAGAAAGTTATCTTTTAAAAAGAAACGGTTTTGTCTTACCAATCGTTTATCTTTAATGTAACTTAATTATCGTACGAAGCTGTACTCGGTGAAATATTACCTTCTTTTACCAGTATTTTAAGCTTTCATCGATGGGCATTATATCCGCTTGGAAGACATTTGAAGTTTGAAAAATCGCCAGAATATTATTAGAAACCTGCTCGAGTAGTTTCGTTTATTGTAAGATTGTCTATAAAGACACAAGACATAAATATGGAAATAAAACTGCTGGCTAATCTTCTTACACCTTATAGATGAAATTTTTCATGATTTCCGAGTCCCAAGTAACGTGTATTCTTTTCTTTTTACCAAATAGGATCTCGGCATGAGCATTATTTTTCGACATCCAAATCAAGTTGCTTCGCTATCGTTTGCTTCTTACTGCTTCCCTGCCCCGACTCAAGGAACGAAAGATGTCAAGTTTAAGTGCATGCCAATTATGTCTAATAAAACCCAAAAACTTACTGAATTTCAGAAAGCAATCATTCGAATTTGTACGCCTAGCAATCAACACGTAAGAGTTTATCAATTTTTTGGGAAACTTCTAGGTATCTATACTTTGACAATGAAATCTGTAATTAATAGGTGAAAAATAATATGAATAATATTCAAACCACCATCACTTCCCGTCTTTTATGTCTATTAAGCTTTTATCTTATATAATTTTTAAAATATAAAATTTTTATTTTTAAAAAGCTATCCTTTTGGCTTGGCGCTTAAGTAATCAGAAAACGTGGTTCTTTTAATTACTAAATACAGGGATTAACAAATAATTACGTTCTTTCCGTTTACAATTGTTAACATTAGAATAGGTGATAAAATAAGACCATTTCAACTTCTTAGCTAACGCCAAAGCATGGGTGATTTCATAGATTATTAAAGTGATTGTATTGTCGCAGTAAAACACTCATTAATTGCCTTCCCGCTACTATAAGGGAATAACAAGAGCTAGAAAAGTGAACAACACGGAAAGAATTCAAAGCGAATATTAGCTGTGGTAACGGCGGCTGCGCGCGCCGGCTGCTTCGTCCACGTAAACTGCATATAAGCATAAATTTTTGTCTTTTGCATTTGATTTTTTTCCATATTTTCACAATGAATTTCCATCATCCATTACCGGACTGCAATTATGCTTTAGTTTAATGATACATACATATACACACTTGCCGTATGAAAGATTTGTGATCGGTTTAAAAATTTGAAACGTGTGGTGTAATTATCAAAAAGAAATTGTTGCTATAAAATTCAAGAAAAACCAGCACCATTCACATAGATGCACACACACGTGTAGCCTATGCACGGAAGCGACATCGTGCAAGTCAATCCAACGCACTACTACTACTACAGCAATCTACACATCACACAGAGGAAAAAAATTCTCACATTTTTTCTGATAAAAAAATTTCCTCACATTATTTCACTTGTATTTCACACTTTATTATTTCCGCAAAACACTTTGTGTTAATTTATAAAATTTCGGGCGATTTTTGTAGAAATTTTTACAATTTTTTTAAAAATATTTACCTAGAATGATCATAACCACCTCTTCCAGCCATGTTTTATTTTTTCAAATGCTCTTCTTTAGCACACAATGCCTGTCTCTGTCTATTCATACAAATTAATATATGCGGCGAATTGAAACACGTATAAATGCTTCTTTTTGATGGTTTTGTTATTCCTCCTTTGCTTGTTGTCTTACAGTAACATATAATGGTTTCTTTTACACATAGGGAATTATTGGCGGCGTATATAAATCAAAACAGAAAAAAATCAAACAAAAATAGCAAACGAATAAATCGTAGACCTCAGGGTTGTATTTCCGTTCGGTTAAACAAAAAAATTTTTTCACAAAATTTTTACTTCTTCGATTTGGTTTTCGATTTGTTTTTAATATGCTCGTTATGTTAACAAAATTTTAGTTTGATAACTTAACTATTAACACACCCACTCTTTGTATGAGGGTGCGCTGTTGCGCGCGCACGTTTAATTTTGATGGAATTTTTAACTATGTAGTTTTTTATTATCTAAACGTAAATTTTGACGAATTTCTTTTCACTTTTACTGATACATTTATGTTGTTGTTTTTGCAAAATTTTTATAATAAAAAAGTTTTCTTTTATTGGTTAGATTTCTTTATGAAGACAAAAATTGAGCTTGTTTATTGCTTTATAATGAAATTTGTTGGTGTAGTTATTTTTACTTTTAACTCATTTGTCAACAGACAAACTTTATAGGGTTGCCGGGTTTCCATATACATAATTTTAGAGATTCATGAAAATAACAAACTGCATAGAAAAATATATTAATATTACGCAAATGAAACAGTTAACCAAAGGATGTTCGTAGCCTATAAATCTGTAAATCTTTAAAAATTCTACCAGACACACATTAATATAATAAGTAAGCCCTTGTAAATTATATTTCTAACGAAAACACTCTTAATTTCGAATTAATTTAGGGTTGAAAATTTGATTGTGATATCATTAAACTAGATCAATTTGATTCTTCTACATATAGTTTAGAAGTCACAATCGCAAATCGACAAGAATATAATAAGCAGACATGTAGACACGACTAGACCGATTTCTGAATAACACACAATACTCTATGGAATTTGCAGGATGTATTGCTGTACAAAGTATTCAACATAATTAACGTTAATAACAATAATATATTGCAAAAAAATTGCTAGACTAAATTGGTAGGATAATTTGGAAACCGAGTATTCCCGGATCACATCCTAGATCACCAAAGTCTATTAATAAATTGATATATCTCGACGTTATATATCAAATTCAGAGGTAAACAAAACAAGGAAATAGTCATAAGATATAAATAAACAACAGCGAATGTACACTACATTATACTATTGTTAAAACAGAATTAATTCGATTGCTGCTGGCAGCTTTCATACCATTTTGCACAAAGTTTCGTTAATAATATTGTTTTATTTTGGCAAAAAATAGCAAAAACGCTAAGATACTTTTCTTTAATTTTAATAATCGATTATAACAACAACGTGGTAATTTTCATCCGAGGTTAAATCATATTTAGGTGACTTCATTTAATTATTTTAAAAATTGTGGTAAATAATTAGCAAAATTTCAACAATTTAATAAATTTTATTATCTGTATAGAATTAGTATTAAATTGATTCTTCTTAAGTGCTACTAAACTAAATTAAAAGGCTTAGCGGTTTTTTTTTTGCGAACATCGCGTTTTATTGTTACTGCTGTTATCACTTTACTTAGCAAAAGTCAGATATGATGTGCTATCACTACCTTTTTCGCTAGCAGTCGTTCCCGTTAATTGTACACGTTTTGCTGTTTCCAACACAAAATACATCTGCATTTAAAAGTATTGCATCAATAACGTTGATTATTGAGTTAACTTTTAGAATTCTAAAAACATGGCTTTAACGTCGCGTTTCTACAGTGAAAAGTATCCGGAAGTTGAAGATGTCGTAATGGTTAATGTCCTATCAATAGCCGAAATGGGAGCTTACGTTCATTTACTCGAGTATAATAATATTGAGGGTATGATATTGCTCTCTGAGTTGTCCAGACGCCGTATACGTTCAATTAACAAATTGATACGTGTGGGTAAAACAGAACCGGTTGTAGTGATTCGTGTGGATAAGGAAAAAGGTTATATCGATTTGTCAAAACGACGCGTCTCGCCCGAAGACGTTGAGAAATGTACAGAACGTTTTTCAAAAGCAAAAGCTGTAGATTTGTTGCTGCGTCATGTGGCTACTTTATTAGGTTACGAAACTAGCGAGCAATTGGAGGAGTTATACATGAAAACTGCATGGCATTTTGAGAAGAAGTATAATAGCAAAATTGCGGCCTATGATATATTCAAACAATCGGTAACGGATCCTAAAGTCTTTGACGAGTGTGATCTGGATGAAGAAACCAAGGAAGTGTTATTAAACAATGTTAAACGTAAATTGGTTTCTCCTACGGTGAAAATACGTGCGGACATTGAATGCTCGTGCTATGGTTATGAAGGTATTGATGCGGTTAAGGCCGCTTTAAATACCGGCTTAGAATTGAGCACTGAGAATCTACCAATACGCGTTAACTTAATAGCTCCTCCGCTGTAAGCACATTAATATAATTTCTTCATTCGCCCAATCAAATTCCCCTTTTCTAATTTTTATTCATATTTATAGCTATGTTATGACGACCTCTACTACCAAGAAGGCTGAAGGTTTAAAAATTTTGGAACAAGCTATTGAGAATATACGAGCAAAAATTACCGAATTTAACGGTGAATTCAAAGTAGTTATGCCTCCTAAATTGGTTACAGCTATTGATGAGGCCGATTTAGCGCGACGCCTGGAGCGCGCTGAGGCCGAGAATGCTGAGGTGGGCGGCGATAATGACGAAGATGAAGATGGTGACCAAGAAGGCATGCAATTCGATCCCGATCGTGAACTTAATCACAAAGATCAACATGATGACCCCATTAACGCTAACAATGAAGAAGACGACGAAAATGAATAATTGTGTGTGGTTGAGAAAACGTTTAATATGTGGAATCATTTAGAGATTCACATAGCTTTAGTTGCTATGGCCTATTTGCGCATATACGTTTTATGAACGGATATGGACAACAAATAAAATTTTTTTATAGATTTCCCATTTTAATAAAAAAAAGAAAAAGAAAAGTATGAACTAAGTTCTAATGCTTACATTAAACAGACAGTATCACAAAAAGAAGGCATAACCTAAGCAAATAACGTGTAGAGATTCTTTGCATTATAGAGGGAGATATTTCTTTTATACTTTGCTTGGCCAACGTCATAGTAAGTTTTAATTTATGTTAGAATGGGTCCCAGAAACTTGGGTCTTCAGCTATTATAAATCAAGTTCATACAGTTTATAAGTAAATATGCTTGATTTCGTTTTTTTATATTGATCCTGCCATCTTCATGTGTAGCTTAGAAATGCTCGTCGACCACTCTAGAAGTACAGAACTCTGAGAATTCGTTAATTAAATAATTTCCATTAGGCTCATTGCAAAGGTTTAGAGTTCCCAAATAAAATAAAATATAGTAAGGGAAGACAACCAATTGCCAACAAGGGACATTCTACAATTAAGCAGAATCCATCCGTCGATAGAGAAAATGTTAGATATAAAGCGCGTCTAGTTATTCAGATTATCAAATCAAATAAGTTTACGAGCATTGTTGATAACTGCAAGTGTAAAAAATTGCTTAATTTTAGAGAAAGCAAACAAATTAAAATACGCGCAACATATGTTATGCGCGAGCACCGATTTATTTCAATGTGGAAACAGAATTACCCTTATCAGCAATCTCTGCCTTTGCCGGTAGCCACTGAGCAATATGGACCACTATCCACGGTAATCACTGACTTTTCAATGTTTAAACTGATTTTTCGCATAATATAGCTAATTTCTTCCATTCCTGAAAACGCAGATAATTACTTTGAAAAAAGGGAAAAAAAATTAAATTGTTCTTCTTCTGCGAATCAACAACAGGTGCTTTATTGAGTTGAGTAAAAAAGAAAAATTAAATTCTAATTAGAATAAATAAATAGTGGATAATGGCTTAAGCATACATTCGCTGGTACATAACCATAGTTTTAAAGATACTTATAAATGAATATATACTAAAATATGTAGTTTTCTATTTTGGGTGTAGACGCATGAGTTGAAACTTTTTTAAACTTTAAGCTTTTTTAAAAGCTTTTTCTAGTGAATATCACATAAAGCTTTCATTTTTAAAATGAAGACTTATAAAGCTCTCGTAGATAAATCATCGCACAGTAAGAAGGAATCACATAACTTAGGTTCTTAAAAAGTTGGAGCCAGAGATGCGCACCCATTTTTATTTATATGCATTTTTTTTATTCCCGATTGATTGATAAAAAGAAAAAAAATAATAATAACTCCGTTTTATAGAACATTAAAATTTTGTCCTTTTACTTGTTTTGGCCTCTTTTTGGGATAAACAGTGATGAGCATCGACTTTAATTTTTGTACTTGCTTTTTTTGCGGTGAAAACGCATTAGGTGCTTGCAAAAATTTTGATCATCGACTTCTACAGGGGAAAATGATAAAGAAATGGGAAATACCAGTCTACATAACGGTTGGATTCGATGGTTTCGACTTTCTTCTACATAAAATAATAGTTTTCCATCTAACATTATTGATTTCTTTAGCGTACGCCAATGCTAATCATGGACTGTGTCTTCCAAATTCATTACTTTTGTTGCTGCCAAACCCCACCAAACAAGTTCAGAGGCTTACTGTGATCCATAAGCCATCCATTATATCCTCCATTGTCGGTTTCGGTTTCAACAATATATAATAGTGACGACTGAAAATGCCATTTTTTGCCACTTCTTGCAAAAGTTGCTCAGGGATGTACTGTTGCAGCTCGAACAGGTAATTCTGCCACACCCAGCGTACTCACTAGACATCCTAGCCTTCTGATTACCGCTTGCTCAGACCGGTGTAGCGTCGCTTGGTTGGGATGCGGACCCCGCAACGTTGAAGAAGTATGAAAATGGATCGGTGAGTAAATCGCTGCCATATGCTGCTTCTTCCGACATGATTTCGTCATAATGTTAAAAATTTTGTTAAAATTTCGTAGAAAATGATGGAAACTATTTTGATTAATTTTCTACAATAAATGACTTTTCCAAGCGAAAAAATGGCCACAAATTTTATAAACACTTAATAATATTCAGCGATTGCAAGAGCCATTGAATCATAGGGTAACAATTTTAATAACTGTTACAAATTTTTTTTTTGGTTTTTTTTAAATTAAAAAATTTTAAACTAAGTTCGACACCCTTTGGTTTTTATTAAATACTTGTGAAAACTTTTGTGTGTGAAAAAACAGAGCGATTGTTTGATCTTGTAAGCAGATGCTAAAAAAAATGCATTTTTCATAAGGAAACTCGTGAGAATTATCCATAATATTCGAAAGGGAGTATTTAAGAGTCTTTAAGAAAAAAATTTTATTAAAATATTTGCTACGCAATCTTGTCGTGTCGCTGACTCGAAGTACGAGTGCTTGTAGTGATTCTTATTTATGATTTCAAGTTATATCTGGGTTGTCTGGAAGAGTAAAGTGGCATCCGTCAATTCGTGAACGCAAGGTTTAAGGCGCCTTTAATGTACTTTTCTACTGGATTTTTACGCAAACGCTTGTCTCATCTTATATTTATTTAATTTTTAAAATCTACTGCTCATTTTGGTTATATACCTTTCATAAAAAATCCTTTTTTTGCTTAATCTTCTATTGTTAAGCTTAGCAAGTTGTAGAAGCCATAGATAATCCATTCAACAAAAAGACTCATATTGTCACCAATTGATTGTTCATTTAAAGTCGATTAGTTAAATTCAACTACCAATTTACTTATTATGCATCAACGTAAAATCAATTCATGGGTAAAAGTCTGTACTTGATTTTTTTCTAACGTATCAGCTTTCATTTATAATACGACAGTTTGCAAGATAGATAAGCTACTAGTGTGGTATGAAGCAATCGCCTAAACAATGTTCTTAAAAAGTTACAACAAAGCTTGCCCCCTATCTTTTTTTTTTATGGGATATGGATATTTTTCAAACGATTTCCAACTTATATAAATTTATATATTTTTGTTTAAAGTGCAATCACCACATTTTTATTTATTTATTTTTATCAAAATAGTTAATAATACATCTCATATTAAAAAATAAAAATAATAAAAAATACCACAAAACATGATAAGCCTTCCGCGAAGCAAAATAAAAAAATACATAATTGAAAAGGAAACAAATGAACGTTAAACCTATACCGAGAGCATGTTTGTAAAAAAATATAATAATAAAAATAATAATTTCTTTTACTTTGTAATCTTAAATTAAATCCTTAAAATGAACTAAATTCTTCATACCATCCTTTAACGAGGAATTAAATTAAAAAAAAAAATAAAAAAAAGACATTGTTTGCGATATATTATATTATTGAAAAATTAAATAAGATTTTAAGAAAAATTATTTTTCTTTAGTTTTCGTTGATTTGTTGTTTTTGTTTACTTAATTTGAAATATTGCGCTTAACATTTTTTTAAAAATTACATATAAAAAGTTTTTTTTCTTCATTTTTAGTACAATTTCTATTATTGTTTTTATTTTTATTTTTATTTTTTTTTTTTTTTTTGCTTATGTTCCGCTTTTACCAATCATCAGCGATTAAATTTCTGCCAAAAATAAAAGAAAAATGAAATAATTTTAAATTATTATTTAAGAAAGAAATGCTTCCAGCCTGAGGTAGTTTGTAAAAATGTTAGGCTTTGTTGGTGTAGTTGTGGGTTTTGTTTCTTATCTTATTATTATTATTATTATTATTATTATTATTATGATTATTATTGTTATTATTATTTTAAACTTTTTTTTCTTGCATCTTACGAAATAAAATTTGGAAAAATTGTTGTTTTCTATTTAATTTGGATTAGACTTTTACTTAATTTAAAAAAAAAATATATATATATATATTTGTATATTATTTCGAAACTGTCATTATTGCTAATATTTTACATTTAAAATTTCAATGATTTTGCTAAAAGGGCAGCAGTAGCTTGATTTTTGTTGCCATTATGTCGACGCAGTTCGGTTATAACATCATCGCGTTGATAACCCATACGTACAAGATCGCTAACATCACCTTCGCTGAAATTATCCTGATTGGAAATCGTATTTCCAGATTTATGCGATGGATTGGCTACGTTTGAAAATAAATTTGAATCAAGTTATTCTTTCTGAACCTTTCCTTGCAGTCTTATAATCTTTTTTTGATTTCGTTCGGTTCGACCTTGAGCGAAACCAATAAATATTAAATAATATATTAAAAAATCTTATTCTATATGCGTCCAAATTTTTATTCAGACTTGCCTGCTTCTTTCTTACTTTGTTCAATAGCCTTTTGTAAAGCATGTGCTTCCGCCTCCCGCGCTGATATTTCGAGAGCTTTTAATTCCTCCTCGGAACTGGTACTTAGGCGAGCACAATCAGGCAATTCATTTTCAGGTAAAAATGGTGTCTCGGTGCCAGTAGTGCCAATGCGTAAAACATCCCGTTGCAAGTCAATATTGCACTATAAAAGGATGAAAAATTTATTTTTATTCTTAACAACACTTTACCAATCATCAATTTTAATTAAACGAAGTTTCCTTGATCGATTTACTTTTAATTCTTGGCATTTTTCGTTTCGGTTACAAAAGACTTGCGTTTACCTGATGCCGTTTCAGCATATCGAGCCCCAGCAGCACATCCATAGGCTGTTGCTCAAGTACCGAAAAGCTCGAGGCTAAATAATCATTTTCAATTTGTAGCTGCACCATATGAATACGTCCGATTATACGTTGCGTGCCCACGCCTTTAGCCACACCATTCCATCTATATATAACATAAAAACGAACAAGTTATAAAAAAATAATAATAATAATAATAAGAAAGTGATGTTCGGCGTGGACCGAATCTCGCATACCCACCACCACGCTTTTCGCACTCTACTCTCCAAGTTCTTTTATTTGATACCGATATCGCTGGTATTATTAAGAAAAAATTAATCGCGATATCTATCCTAATTCATTTTAGAATTAACCTATTTTTAGTCAGTTAATATATCGTCATTTGAGAAATGTACCAAGCAGTTGTAAACATTTTGTATTAGTTGCGTTATGATGATAAAAAAGCATAAAATCTCAAAGAGTGCAAAAAAAGGAAATTTAATTACTCGTAACTTTGTGTGGGCATAGCCGATTCTTTCTATTTCTGGACGTAAGGAGCAGCGAGTTTCGTGAAGTAAATTTGGGAATTTATCAGCATTTTTTTCAGTAACAAGCAAAAATCCAAAAATTTTTATTTAAAATAAAACTGATTTGCTTCAGTAGTAACGCTTCTGCCCTAAACAATTCTCAATTCTCAAC